ACACTTTCCTATAAGACAATGTGATTTATTGTGTCCAACAAGTAGAACTGAGCATGAATGCTTCAAAGAAACTCACGAGTCCTAAGGCAGGAATTTGGCAGTTGAACTGACAGTCACTTTTACTACGAAATTTCCCACTGCTTACAATTTTTGAAGTTTCTGCTCAAATTTGGCTGCAGTTTGAGCGCAACACTGACCCAATGTTTCCAGATGATCAGATTCATTCATTGCTGTACCACTGTTCGATTAAGTATGGCTTGTTCAATATAACTGGCTGGGTTTCCACAATATGCTAAGCTATAAACCATGCTTTACCAGCCACAGCTGCTACATTCACTTAACCTTAAATAAACATGGCTGCGACTCCATTTCTACATGTTTGATTGACTGCTGGAACTCGCCAATTATTTGCTAAGCAATACGGTATTGACAATGCAAGCAAGGGCTTGTGGTTTTAGTTTCAAAAGAAAGAAAATTACTTGCAGACAGATAGAAGAGGAAAAAAAGACAAAATGTAAATTGTTGTAATTTCAGTATCTATACAGTATTTATCAAGTAATATCCCGGGTCCTCATACCCTTTCCTTATAAATCTTTTATTATTTTGTCTCTGGATTTACTTGTTGAAAAAAAATCAAAGTGATCTCAAGAATTTTCTCCTGAAAATCCACCATGGATCTATTTGCAATACTCTACAGGGGTGTCAAACTGCCGGCCCGCGGGCTGGATGCGTCATGGAGAAACCACGCCCACCCCATTGCAAGCAATGGAAAAAAAGTTCGCGATACGTCGCGACGCATCACGTGACGTTGCGAGTTTGAAACCCCTGCTCTACAGTAATGAAACCCCTGCTCTACAGTAATGTTTTTCTATCTCAGCCACTTTATGGATGAATTTCAAGTCCCAGAATTCTCAACCTCTTTTTTATGTAATGGTGACCAGAACTGAATGCATTATTCCAAGTGTGGGCTTACCAAGGCAGTATATAGCAGTACTAATACTTCACATGATTTTGATATTATTCATCTGTTGATGCATCCTAGGAATGCATTTGCTTTTTTGCAGCACACTGCTGGCTCATTCTTAACTGGTTGTCCACTAGGTCTAGGACTCCTAGATTCCTCTCACAGTTACTACTGTTAAGCCAGGAACCACCTACTCTATATCTTTGCAATTGGTTTTTCTTGCCTAAGTGTAAAACCTTACTTTTCTTGCTATGGAATATTTTCAAAATATTTTCACACAGAAGCTTCTTTGCAGTCTTCATTCTTCACCACAAACTACCAGTCAGGCAAATTATGTTTTGTCATCCACAGCCTTGGGAAAAATAGTGGCATTGTAGTTCATTGTCAACTTCCCAGAGTTCCTTCAAGGCAAGATGGACAGAAAAAAATTTAATAATAAAAAATAAATAAGGAGAGACAATGGTCAGGGTTTGAAATACATGAGGAATCTAAGAGGCAGTTTTCCAGAGCCCATCCTATTCATTATCAATGTTCTTCTGAGGGAAGAATCTCCTGCAGATGTGCAGAATCAAATCAGCATATGTATATCTCCTGCAGATGTGCAGAATCAAATCAGCATATGTATATCTCAGACTCCAGGAATCTTATTTTTTCTGGAACCAGTGTCATTATAGTTAATGTACATGAATTCCACTTTCACAACACATGGCAGCAGCATTCTCAGTTATGAAAAGCTACAATAGTCCTTATTTAGTGGCCACAATTGAGACCAGCAGCTTGGTCCTTGCGTGAAGTAAATGCTAAATAAAACTGTGTCTTTGCTGATCTCACTTCAGCTTTCCTTTGCTTTACAGACCTGTGAAGATTGTAAATGTGAGGATTGGTTGTAAAGTTATTTTTAATCAGTGTTGCAACTGTGAACAGTCGCTACACAAAGTAGTCACTAAATGAGGACTAGCTGTACTGACTTCTGGGATAGTGAATAATTCACTGTGAGCAACAGACAAGTGATGTTACACTGGCATATCAAGGCATGCCCATTACTGGACCAATTGAAGCTTCTGGGTAGTTTTCAAGGGAGCTCCATATACTATGGTATCCATTACAGCAGTCAAGCTGTGTGATGACTAGGGCTTAAGTGATTGTCTAAAGCACCCCAATCTAGGAAAGGGCTATACATTTTATATATAATCTGGTGATCTGAAATTTTTTTCTCTTTTATAGGTCTTTATTGGTAGGTGTGTATTTGCATATAAGCAAGCTGGCTGCCCAAATAAAAACAGTTCCTTACCATCAACTGTGTAACAAAGCTAAAGCTGTGTAACAAAGCTAAAGCTATACAGGGAATAAACCCAGCAGTCCTTGCAGTTACTAATAAAGGAGAGTATTTGTAGCTCAGGATTGACATGCGGGGTTCTTGGTGGTCTCTGAGCGTGCTTGTTTTCTTGCAGATGTTTCATTATCCAAACTAGGTAACATCATCAGTGCTAGTGTATCAGTGTAGCACTGATGATGTTACCTAGTTTGGGTAATGAAACGTCTGCAAGAAAACAAGCAAACGCAGAGAGCACCAAGGACCCCTCAGAAACAAAATTATTTATCAGCAATAATGTAACCAGTCAGTTCTACACATATACACACTGAAAAAGAATCGGGGGCAATTCTGGCATCAGAAATGACAATTTCCAAAAACATTTGGAGAAACCTGCATCTTCAGACTTTCTGTTACTGATTTGTACGTGTATTCATCATCTCACCAGACCATAATTCTGTTTCTGCAGGGCCCCTACTTGTAGAACAGCAGTACTTAGAAGACATGAGTGGGAAGGTGAGGCGTCTCCTCTTGCAAGCCACAGCCTTTAAAAACAGTGCAAATTCCTATTATGGCTCTCCTTAGTCTTCTCATTTGTAAGCTTATCAAAAAAGGATAGAGCAACCCTCAATAAAAGAAAGCAAGCAAGCCCAACTTTGGTTTTATATTTTCCCACATCCGTCCACTGATGGTTAAGTGTGTGTGTGTGTGTGTGTGTGTGTGTATACATGTGTCTCTGCTGGTCTTTGTTGACAACTATTGCTGCTGTTTTTGCTGTAATAAAATCACATGAAGTGTTAGTACTACTTTATGATGCCGTGGTAAGACCACACTCGAAATACTGCATCCAGTTTTGGTTGCTACAATATAAAAAAGTTATCGAGACTCTGAAAAGAGTGCAGAGAAGAGCCACAAAGATGATTAGGGGGCTGGAGGCTAAAGATTTGAAGAACAGTTGCAGGAATTGGGTATGTCTAGTGGAGTGAAAAGAACGACCAGGGGCAACATGATAGCAGTGTTCCAATATTTGAGTGGCTGCCGCAAAGAAGAGGGAGTCAAGCTATTCTCCAAAGCCCCTGAAGGCAGGACAAGAAGCAATGGATGGAAACTAACAAAAGAGAGAAGCAACCTAGAACTAAGGAGAAACTTCCTGACAGTTAGAACAATTAACCAGTGGAACAACCTGCCTCCAGAAGCTGTGAATGCTCCAACACTGGAAGTTTTTAAGAAAAGACTGGACAACCATTTGTCTGAAATGGTATAGGATTTCCTGCTTGAGCAGGGTGTTGGACTGGAAGACCTTCAAGGCCTCTTCCAACTCTGTTATTCTGTTATTCTGAATGATATACTGTATGCATCTATTCCTAGAATAATTTTTGAAAAGTATCTGTCCTTTCTGCAGTTGTACACTAGAGGGTGGTGGTTTTCTTTCTTCTGCCAATTCCTAACCTTCTATCCATATTTTAGATGAGTTGTGGCTATTATGTAATGAGCAGGAAATAAGACTTGTGTAAGACTGAATATTCTTAAGCCTCAACTTTAGGAAACAGTTGTGTTTGAATTGATTAAATGCCAACGAGTAGTTTTTGATCCTAGCAACCACGTAGATTTTCTCCACAAGGATCTGTCTTCTCAGGTCTTCTAACATTACACCTATTGCCACTGTAACGTAGTCCATCCACCTTGCTGCTGGTCATCCTCCCCCCCCCTTTCCTTCCACCTTTCCCAGCATCAGGACCTTTTCCAGATAGCTGGATCTTCACATAATGTGTCTAAAATAGGATAATTTGAATCTGGTCATTTATGCTTTGAGTAAGAACTCTCGATTGATTTGTCTGATGAGCCATTTGTTTGGGTTTGGTTCTCCCCCCCCCCCCCGCTATCTGTAGTATTCTCAAAAGTCTTCTCCAACACCAATGTTCAAAGGTATCAATGTTTTTCCTATCCTGCTACTTCAAAGTGCAACTTTTGCTTCCACGAAGTGTCTCAGGGACTATCATGAGTAGTACTATTCTCATCTTTGTAAGTATAGAGACATCATATTTGAATACTTTTTCTAAGGCCTTCATGGCTGCTGTACAGTACCAAGTGTTAATTTGCAGCATATTTCTTGACAGTTTGGTCCTTTACTGTTGATGGTTGATCCTAAAAGGCAGAAGCTAGCCACCACTGAGGAATCTTCATTGCCAATTTTAAGGTGGTTAATCTACCTGTTGTCATTAGTTTGGTCTTTTTTATATTTAATTTTAGTTCAGGAACTTGCAAATCCTTTGCCTTTTTAGCTATCAGGACAGTGTCATCAGCATAGTGCAGTTTATTGATGTTCCTTCCTCCAATTTTAAAAACGCAAACATCTTTCAATTCATCTTCCCTTAATATCTATTCAGTGCAGGAAGTCTGTGCCTAACTGCTATACCTGGCACAAGGATTTCCGTTGCTAAGTGAAGGAGTCATGAGGTAAAACATCACGTAACCACATCACTTGGTGACGGCACTTCTGGTAGTCCCAGATGGGGTAGTTAGGCCAGGACCAGGCCACCATTAGGCAAGGGCCTCAGACTTCTCCTGCCTGCTGTGCTCACCTCCACTTCAACTTTAAAACTTAAAAAACAGTTTATTTATATCTCTTCTCATAACAGATAGTATTCAGTGTCAAAGGAGACTATAGGAGCCAGAAACTGAGGACCACCTTGAGAAAGTTATCAAAATACAACATTTGTAGTAAAAAGATATTTATTATAACTTTGAGTGTATACAGACCACAAGACATATGTTTTAATGTTAGATGCTAAACAAACAAAGAAAAGGGGGATATCTGTTCAAAGCATGAGAAACAGTAGTGCATAAAATGTAAAAATCAAATAAAGATATCTCTGCTGATAAAATGGTTAGGTCACTGAGGATATATCTGAACATTGTAGATTCTGGTCTGATTATTGGCCTGAATAATGAACAGGCTGGCTTAATTTGGCAGGGCAGGTTATTTAACTCAGAATTCTCTAACATCTTGCAGTCTCACCTCACAACATCTGCTTCTGGAGACAGTTGTCGCATTTTGATAGAGAGCTGACCCAGACACACATTTAATTCATATTAATAGGATGCCTGCCCCCCCAACCTTTCTAAGACCAGATATCTATTTATCTTCTGATTTCAACTCCTGCTTCCCAAGAAATAATAATGACTTCATAATTCATACATTCTTTCTTTCTTACCATTTTGCAATAAAAGTCCCACTTCCTGTTTCTTATGCATTGTCTCAGTAAATTGTAATCAAGTCTACTGAAATCAAGCAGTATTAGTGAAAGAAAAACCAGAGGTCTTGTTTACGTGTCCAGTATCACCAACTTTGATTTATGCTGACTTTCCAGGATCTTAATCACAGGTCTTCAACTTTCTTATTGTTTGCCTATCTGATACTTCTGACTGGAAATATTAGGAATACTTCGTGTAAAGCATGTGGGCTAAAGCTCCTTCTTCTGTATTAAGGCATCCAGGCATGACCAAAGAAATTCAAAGTATGAAAAAACTCACTTTCTAAGACCTGATAGTAAAACTCCAGTCCAAGAAGGAAGAAACAAACATGGAGAGTAGATGCTTCTGTAACAGAGATGTTCTGCCTTTCCTTGTTGATCATGACCACCACAAAGGCAAAAACATGCTGTAAATGCCCAGTTTTTTCACCAAATCCAGTGGTAGGTTTGCATGGAATATCCTTATCCCAAGAGCAGGGATAGCAACAAGTTTTAGTACCTGAGAGGGATTCTTTTCTAATCCATGAAATATTTTCTCAGGAGAACTAGAAGAATCAGTGCTCAAAAATCCAGAACAAAAGTTTCTCGGCCACTATCAGTTCTCAGTTCCTCCAAAGTTGAGTCTCCAGGAAAAGGCATTTCCAACTTCCAATTTTTAAGCATTTGCACTTGGTAATGGTTCACTTCTTCTCTGGACTGGTAACAGTGCTGAATCATATCTCATTAGCAACATAGTTTAGTACATCATCTCGAAGACATAGGCTTGTTTTCTGCTCCTCGGATTACATGTTAGTGTTGTAGTCAACCTACAAAGATGGAGATTGAGCATCTCATATTAGCTGTACATGTTCATGAGACAAAACACCAAGGAAAAAATTATCCAGAACACAGATATTCTCTTTTTACATCCTGCTTTCCATGGAAGATCATATTCCTACTTCTAAACACAAAATACCTTGACGTAATTTTTAACTGACTTGCTATGGAGATACACACATACATAGCAATCCTTATAGTATCTAAAGAGAAATCAAAGCACTCCCTAGAAGAGCTCAGTTTGTAGCCTGCTTTACAGAGTAGTTTGAGAAATAGCTTATCTCATCTAATCTAGTGAGTTCATGACAAGAGTCATTTAACCTGGTCTGCACATTAGCCAGTTTGGTGTCATGTAGTTTTCCACACTGCCCAGAGTCCACTGGAGCTGGGCAGTCATAAAGTTTAAATAAAATAAAATATAGATAGTCCTTGACTTATGGCCACAATGAGCCCAAAATTTCTCTTGCTAAGCAAGGCAGTTGTTAAGTGAGCTTTGCCCCATTTTACAACCTTTCTTTCCACAGTTGTTAAGGGAATCACTGCACTTGTTAAGTTAGTATCATGGTTAAGTGAATGTGGCTTCCCCATCGACTTTGCTCGTCAGAAGGTCACAAAAGGTGATCACATGACCCCAGGACACTGCAACCCTCATAAATATGAACCACTTGCCAAGCATCCAAATTTTGATCACGTTATCATAGGGATGCTGCAATGGTCATAAGTATGAAAAACGGTCATAAGTCACCTTTTTCAGTGCCGTTGTAACTTCAAACAGTCACTAAATGAACTGTTGTAAGTTGACGACTTCCTGTAAATAATAAATGGTTAAGGCACCGGACTAAAAACTGGGAGACCATGAGATCTAGTCCCATGTTAGGCATAAAGGCAGCTGGGTGACTTAAGGTCAGTCACTCAGTCTCAGCCCTAGGAAGAAGGAAATAGAAGATTTTCACTTCTGAAAAACTTGCCAAGAAACCTGCAGGATCTGGTCCAGGCAAGTGCCAGGGATTAACACTGACTCAAAGGCACGTGTACACACTCACATCATTAGCCCTACCTTGATGCAATGGTTGTTTTTAAACATTATTTTAAACTATATTAAATGGGGAAGATAAATTATCATTCGGCATGGGGAGGGAGAACCGTCTTAGCCCAAGAATCAGGGTTTTCCCTTTACAGGTCTGTATAAAGATGGAGTATAAATCCTGACGTCCGGATAAGACCAAAGAGTACTGGTGCTGGCATAGACATGCAATGAGATCTTCAAGGAAAGTGAATAGTTCAGCCCTGCTGCTTCAAGAGATGTACCTGATGGCAAAATAGCACCAAGGCAGTGTACTAAACCTCCATGATCCCTGTGAGAAGTAGGTTTTCCTGAGTTATTAAGAAAAAGAGTAACTCTTACATTGTCAATGTGTGGCATGCTCTGTTTTCGGTTCCTGGCGATATAGGTAATTGCATCATGCACTGATGCAAAAAGGTGGTTCTTGGTTATGGTTTCATTGAAAAAACTGCCTCTTTCCAGCTGGGTAATGACAGTGCCTGCGGAGAGAAGAACAGTAAATTGCCTGACAGGACCATACAGGGGCACATCTACTATTTGTGGTGAGAACACTAGTGATGAATCCAGTCAATGTCACTTTCATTTTAGTCCAACAAATCTGGAAAGAGCAAGATTGGGGCACGCTATCTGCCCATTTTAATAAAGCCAGGTGAGAACATTTATTTTGCAAATTTCCTGCTTTTTTTTCTCACTAGAAGGTCTATTCAAGACTGGGATCTGTTACCCCCCCTTTAACTTTGTACTCTCTTTCCTTGATCAAAATTACTTCTAGTTGTTACTATACAGTGTATACTATATACCTCCCCCAAGTTGGTTGTATTGAACTACCACTCTCATATTTCCAACTAATGTTGCACAATACAACTGAATGTCATGAGCTGGGAGAGACAATGTTATTAGCCTGGTGGGTGGCATGCTGTGGAGAGACTCCTGTTTGCTTTAGCAGAAATTTACATAGAGGTTAACTTATGCTTAGGAAAAAGTATGATTTTTCCCAAGCTATCTTAAATAATACCAAATTATGGGATATATATCCTATTTTTCAGTCTGATTGTATCTGGACTGCAAAGGTATATAGATTAATACTGAAAGGCAACAAAGAATGTTTTGGTCTCTTTACTGCCACCCAGTAGCTTTCTGTATACCGTATTTTCAGCTCAGCCCCTGCTAACTTGGCCTTTTGTTTAAACTCATATAGGTGATGTCATGTGTCTGACTAATGAAACACTTCAAAGAACTTTCAGGCATTGTTTAACCTAAAAAGCCTTTATTAGTGTAACAGAGTGTCAGCACGGCATGGAGGAATGCCAAGATCTGAATTTCCCTTCCTTTGCACATAACATTCCAGGCATTTCCCCTCCCCTATTTTGGGGTCATGAATCACATCTTCCAATTAACCTGGAGGGCAAAGATTCACTTCCGTTCCCTTCCGCATGCTTTCCCCTCCACTCCCATTCTCATCTGAATTAACTCTAAAAGTACCAGACAGTTCTGCATATTTTGTCAAAGCAAGAATATTCAATATTAGCAGCGTTGACAGGTAGTCCTTGACTTAAGACTATAATTGAGCCTGGCAATTACTGTTACAAGTCTTGACAGTTGTAAAGCAGATCATCACATGACTGGACCCGATTTTACAACCTTATTTGGGGTGGTCATTGAGCAAATGTAGCAGTTGTTAAGTTAATGTCACAGTTGTTAAGTGTATATTGTATGCCATTGGCCAATTTTTGCTGGAAATCAGAAGCAAACACTGGTTTCTGGCAAAACCATCATAAATCATGGCCATGTGACTGTGGGGTACTGCAAAAGGCCATAAGTGCAGGCTGGTTGCTGCGTATCCAAAATGTGGTCACGTGACCACAGGGAGGGAGCTGATATAGGAACTCTGAAATTGGGTCGTAAGTAGCTTTGGGGGAGTGGGAGTGACCATGGTAACTTCAGTCGCTAAATGACCATTCGTAAGTCAAGGATTACCTGTAATGCTGAAACTCATAAATGCTTGTGGGAAGAATCCACAGAAAGAAATATTCTGGGGAATATTAAAAAGGCAGAATATATTTCTCCAAAGGAATAATGGAGAGGATCTTTAAAAAGACAGAAACCAGCCCCAGCTCTTTTCCCCCAAGCAGAAACTAGGCAAATGACAACTTTTAGAAATGCAGATGTAATAATCCATTCAGGAAGGTTGGAGCCATGAAGCTATTAGGAAGACAAAGACACCTAAAATCTACATACCCCCACCCAAATTCTAAGGACAGGAGACATAATAGGTGTCATGTGTCTGATTAACGAAACACTTAAAAGGACTTTCAGGCATATTTTCTCCTAAAAGCATTTATTAAGGTTACAGAGACGTCAGTAGAGCATGGTGGAAATGCTTAGGTCTGGCTTCTTTTCCGTTACGCATATACATTCTAAGCATTTCCCCCCCCCCCTTATTTTGGGGTCATGGTTCACATCTTCCAATCAACTTGGAAGATGTGATTTACTTCCGGTTTCTTTTTCCCGGCCTATCCTTATTCTCCTCCCTTTTTCCCTGTTGCCTGGTTTAACTATAAAAATACCAGACAGTTCTGCATATTGTCAAAGCAAGAATATACAGTATTTGCAGCATTGACAATAGGATTAACCCGCCAATACCAAAAGGGCACACTCAGACTCAGGTCAAAGTATATGACATAGGAAATACAAAGCCTCAAACAGTAACAGGAAACAACCTCAAGAGTCCCAGAAGGTATAAAAACCCACCACTCCCTGCTCCATGTGGTCAGTTTTTCCCAGAGCCATCTTTCTGTCTGGCTCTCCTCTTCCATAAACTGCAATCTTTTTTCTAAAGCAGTCTCCATTTTGTTTATTCCCAGCTTGGACTGGACCCTGATGAGGATTTTTTTCTTCAACTCACCCATGAGTTAGACCTTGACTGACACAAAAGCCAGAGCCTGAAGCCAAAAGAGGAATGTTTGATTCAAAGTACACCCACTCCCAAGGTAATGACTTCCTGGGTCTTTCTTACCATGGCAACCAGCAAGAAACACATCCACTTCAATCTCCTGGAAATCTTTAAATATCTGCAGAAGACAACAAAGCAGAAATCAGGATTGAAATATAAATACCTGTGTTTCCCCAGCTGGTCAATTTAGGCTAGGTAAGAAAACTGCTAATGGAGTTTTCCTTTAAGATAGCATGATCCAGATGTTTTGGTGTTTGACTCCCATTATCCCCTGAGAGCATGCTAAAGGGAGTTACTGTAAAGTCCATCACAATGGGAAGGTGCACAGTTGAAAAGGATTTACTAGAAAGTTATTTCACAAAAGTCATATTATCCCCCTCCATTTGTTCTTCCAATCCTTTTAAGTTTAAGCAGCAGTGTCCATGAGCAATCTGCCACAGGAAAGAGCCTTATTTCTGAAAAGCCGGGGAAATGAATGTTTTCTTGGCATTTTGAGTTCTTGCCAACCATTTCAATTACAGCACACATATGCGTGCTGGGGAAAAGTGTCCTGATTGATTTAAAGCAATCAGGAAGATGCAGGAGAGCCATTATTAGGAGGTCAGAAATTGTAGTGAACTCATAACCTTAAGTCTCAGCGGGAGAACATGATCTATTTTAGCATTTTCTACATATGACAAATACATATAGATGTTACATTCATGGAATCTCAAGATCTCTATGATCTTTAAGGGCTAGAGAGTCACATTTTTCAGATGGGCAATTTATAAGGAAAGGTAGAAGGTGGTAAAAGATTATAAACAATTTCATCATCATGGTGACTTTGAAGCAAGGAGTCAAATACTTTTTCTTGGAGAATATCACAAGGGAATTTCCAGACTTTCTTGATTCAGAAAAAAAACACTACTTTTACCATTTCTTCCCTTGAACAAACAGGACATTGGAACAAATGTGGATTTTTTGACAGAATCTCAGCAGGAAAAGAAAGCAGTTAAATCCACTCTTCCTATGGGCAGTGGCATTTATTCCTTGCACCTCCCTCCTACAAGGTCAGTTGGCCTTTCTTCCCAAATGGGGCTCAGCCATACATCTGAAAGCTCTCCTTTTCCTTACATTTGTTAAGGTCTTTATGGAGACAGTGTCCACAAAGGTAATAGAGCTGAAGTCCAGAATGATTGAGTGGATAGAAGGCTTTTCCAGCCCCAGATCATTTAAACTCGGTTTGCCACAAGATTGTAGCTGGTGGTGACTTGGGGGATCCAAAGCCATCACAGTTCCATTGACCTCAGTATCTACTATGCCTTCCTCTGGTTCCTGCAAGAAAGGAGAAGTAGAGTTGATTACTTGGAGGGATTCTCCAGGTTGTCTTTGCTATTAAGAGTATGTGTGGAATGTGAGAGGTATGGATTGAGTTCTACTGGAAACAGGAAATCCCTTTCTGTGGACAGATCATAATCATATGTTGGGTACTCACATGTTACCTTAGAACCCAGAAAAATATTTGGAACATCAGAGGGTTCAGATGCTAGTTTTTTGAGGCAATGAACAAGGTCATAGGGGGTATGTAAATTTCCTTAGGAAAAAAATATGAACAAACTTGTTGAAAGAAACAAGAAATCTAAAGCAGTAATAGCTCCTTCCTGTATTTATCTTAGTAGTGGTTGTGTCATGTTGAAAGTACTGTCATGGCAGCTTAGTAACATAGTAAAAAGCATCTCACTACTTTTTGGTTCTTGAGAGCAATTAAGTCTCTCTGTATGTGTGTGTGCACACACACACATGCATTCTGAGATGTTGTACCGCATGTGTGTATATGTGAACACAGAGGTACAACATCTCAGAATTGCATTTTTTTTGTCAGAATGCATCTGTCAAATGTCCAAAAGATATATTTATTGAAACTTATGGATATATTATATACGGTACTATTGAATTTCTACCTGCACAAATAAAAATAGAATAGACTAGATTAAAATAGAATAACATAGTTGGAAGGGACCTTGTAGGTTATCTAGTCCAACCCCCCCACCCAAGCAGGAGACCCTACACCATTTCTGACAGATGGCAATCCAGTCTTTCTTGAAAGCTTCAAGTGATGAAGCTCCCACAACCTCTGCATATGATCAGGCACTGCTTACAATAATGAAAATTAGGTCCATAAGACCTAAGTAAGAAATCCATTTGTGGGAAGGGATTGTGTGGATCAACTAAATATTAGCACTGTAAGTAAAAAGATGCCTTGTACCGGTAAATATAAGTATGATTTCATCAGGTGCATCTCTATGAATTGAATGGGATAGCTGTACCTCTTTAGCCTCTACCTAGAGACTTCCCTCTCAATCCCAGGTTTGATCTGAAATCTCAGATCTTTGAAAACTTTGGCTGGAGAAAGCGTCACTTGTAAATCCATACTTATGAAGCTCAGCAAAGACTTACCACTTTTGTTGCCTGGTTATTCAACATTTAAACCCTACTTTGTTGGGTTTTGAAGCCAAAGGTGCTCACTTACACAGAATTACATACAGTATATAGTATACAAATGGGTTTACTCAGGTATAATAATGTCCTAAATGCAGTGGTGGGATTCAGCCGGTTTGCAACACTTCGGCAGAACCAGTAGCTAATATTTTGTTGCCCAGGCCCAGAATGGACTTCTGGAAGTGGCATCCACACAGAGAATCGGTTGTTCACATATTTGAATCCCACCACTGCCTAAATGCCTAGGCAATGTTGTCTGCACTTTCTCTTTTTAAAATGATTGTACGTGGTACAGTACTTGTGACTTTGCATCCATCTCTACATCCTCAAATCCAGGGTTGTTTTCTCCAGATTTTTTAGCAGTTTTCTGTTACCAAAAACAAGAAGAAAACATAGATCACAATGATCACAGAACTCTTTCTTCATATGACATTTTAAGAAACATACAATTAATTTTGGATCAAGGAAGAAAATGACAAAAGCTAGGACCACGGTATGTTGGTGCCATGCCATGGTAGCTTATTGTACAAGTCATAATTAAAACAAATGAGAGTCCAGTACAGTATGTGAACAAATAATGGTGTGCTACCCAAAGCTGAATAAATACATTGTTTTTCTGCACATAAACTGTTGATGTAGAACTGATAGGGATATTGATTTTGGCTAAACCTGATTCTTAGTATTTTTGTTCTGTTCTCTGTCAATAAAACAGAGAGTTGCAATCCAGCAGTGCTCTCAGCATAAGAGTTTTCTATATCATGTATGGAAAATATAGTGATACAGCAGTACAATCCAGCCAGCCATTGTCTTCAGCTTTATCCATGTCTATTTGTGAATGAGAATGCAGTATAGAAAATATCTGATGGGCTCCAGATTAGCGAAGGTTAGTCTAACCCCCTTCATCTTTTTTTATCTATAGATAAAACCAGATCCAGGTGTCCTTGTGGAAAATAGTCCGCTTGGAATTTAGAAGAAGAAGAAGAAAAAAAAACCACTAGTCAGAAAAGGTACCTTGGCTTCTTTTTTGTCTTTCTTTTGCTTCCTCTTCAAAGCTTTCACCTTCTTTTCAATGAGACGGCACACATCAATGCCACACTATAAAAGAGACAAGTACTTACATCTCAGGATGCAAATGACAGCTGCCAGTTTTTTGATGTGTGATGGGCTACGGTCAAAAAGTCAAGATGGCCGACACCGTGGTGTGGTTGAAGCTCTGCCTGTCTTTGATATGCCTTGCACCATGCGATGCACATCAAAACCAGGCAGAGCTTTGCTATGTTTCCCATCTTGACTTTTTTTTTATCATATCCTGCAGATATTCCTGGAAGACACCAAGACCCATTTTACTCATTTTCACTCCACCAGGCTTGTTAAAAGAAGCTTCGGATGGTTGGGTGCACACACTGAGAAGGTCCCATTTAAGGTATGAGTTGATATTTGAAATAATCTGATGGACAGATATCTGATAAGAAAAGTTTCACTAAAATAAAAAGAGTTGTTTTGCATTTTCCCTTTATTGGGCCCCTGACTTCAATGGGTAAAAGGATGAAAAAAATATGGTCATACAGTACCGAAAGACAGTGAGTGGGTAAGGGCTTGTATCAACCCTTTATTTTACTACTTGTATATTTACTCAGTGCTCACTGGTTCTTTTACTCATCCAGGAGTGACATTCTTTTTGGAGAGAGAAAACTATACATGTCAGGTGAGCTCATGATTACATTAGGCCATTATAAGGATCTGCTGTGGGGACAGCCTAGAAACAGAATTTATTTCAAAACAGAAGATATTAACTGGCACCAGCCATTGATGTAAAAAGACTGTTGATCCCTGATAAAGAGCTTTATTAGTTTTTGGACAATTTCTGAGTACAATTCAGGGAGCTGCTATTTACTTGGACGTGCTGTGGGTAGGTGGGGAGCGGATTGGAAATGGCTTTTCTTTAGTAAAAGGCGAAAGATTTATACAATCTGAAGAGAAACCAGAATATGTCCACTTATCATCGTTCACAAAGATCTTCCTCAGAGGCTGTCCTCTGGGTTTCTGGGAATGTGGCAGAAGGTTTTGAGGATGGGAAGAAGGTTCCTGGGAAGGAGATCTCTGCAAGAGATATCATCTCTTGTGCCTTAGGAAAACCACCAATTTGTTTCCCCCTGCTTTTGACATCTCACACAGTCTATTCCAGGGGTAGTCAACGTTGGCTGAAAATACTGAGCACCTGAAGTTGAGGGTCTTAAGGACTCGGTCGATACGACCGAGTCCTTAAGACCCTCAACTTCAGGTGCTCAGTATTTTCTCGGTTCCAACTGATGGGGACCAGATAAGTAAGTGGTCATAATAATAATAATAATAATAATAATAATAATAATAATAATAATAATAATAAATTATTATTATTATTATTATTATTATTATTATTATTATTATTATTATTATTTATCATCAGTTATGCACCCCCTTGGAACACTAAATGTTTCCAAGGGGGTGCATAACTGATGATGGCACACCAACTGATGGCACACCAACCCTAAACAGGGAAAGTAAACTCAAAATTTAATCAGAACAGCAACATTGAGACGGCTGGGCAAAATGAAGTTCCTATACATTTTTCCTAGTCTGAATCATCAATTAAAAACATATTTAGCCCAATGGAGTATATATATCTATATTTTGTAATTGGGTAATTTTTAGTGGGAAATTTAGACTTGGTTTCGCTTTTGACCATGCTGATACTTTGTAACCAATAAACATGTTCTTTGTGGAATTCACAGGCCTTGGAGTTCTGCTTTATTTGTCTCTGTCTATCGGAACCATCACACACACACCACACACACACACACGTATCTATCTATCTATATATGTATGTGTGTGTGTGTGTGTGTGTGTGTGTATGCCCAAGTGTGGATTTCGATAAGAAATGTAGGTTGACCCCCTGCCCTGCCTTCAACGTTGCTGCTTTAATTCTGAGCTTTTGATCATTTTGTAACAGCTTTATATGCAGAATAAAAATGCACTTCTTTTTCCCTGAGCAAAGATGAAGGCCAAGGGTGAATTAAATGTACCACAAGAGCACCCCCACGCAGGAGTTGAAAGAGTATCTGTCTCTTGATTCCTTCTAAGTGGAATATAGCCCAAAGCTATTTTAGAGGTCATACATTGCCATGAATGAGCAACCAAGCAAATACTAAGAACAAACTCTAAAGTTTTTCTCACCTTTTTTTTAAGGGCCTCTGCATACAATTCAGCATTAGCAAAATAGATAGTAGCAGAAGAGTGGAAAATTTTCACACCTGGTATTTCCTTAGCCTGGGGGGAGGGGGAGGAAGGAAGGAACACAAATGTTAGGAAAAGAGAGTTAGCATGGGGCCAATATACAAAGACCAGAATAAATAGAGTTTGATCAGGAACTCCATCTATTTATTTTTAAAGATAAATCAGGAACATTAAGATATATGTAAAATAAGATCTAAAGATGGCGGGAGTCTGCTCCAATCCAGACATGATGGTTCCAATCCTGATCAGGTCATTATAATTTAGAATACATACCCATACCCTTTATGGGATTCGAACCTGGGCAGTTATACATACTAGTCAGTGATTTAGACACTGAGCCACAGGTTCTCTTCCCCTCTTAAAAAGAGTAAACTGCAGTATGGCAGTTGAAAATGTCAAGGTGTTCACAATCAGACCGATCTGTCTGATATATATATATATATATATCACATAATAAGAAAGAAAAGACTGGCAGGAGACTAGCCTCAAGAAAGACTGGCAGGAGACTAGCCTCAACAAAAGAAGCAGAAATGTTGGACAAGAAGATTGTAAGCACAGCAGCTTTACTGATCATTCTCTGTTGTTTTGCTGGGCAGATAATTTCTCAGAGATCACAGGCAGGCGTGTCAGCTGTGTCATTTAAACCCAACATAATAATTGTAATTCTTGGCTAGAGGAGGTTTCCCAGAGGATTAATAAGCACAATACGGACTTTGCCACTGCAAGGATCGTGACCTAATTGGGCCTTCACAGTGGTGGTCTGCATTTGTAGTCTTCTTGCCCACTCCGACCTGCAATACTTCTTCCCTGGTGGATTTTCATAGGACTATAAAAACTTGGCTATTCAATAAGACCATCTGGAGATATTATTTGGCCCTGCCCATGGTAGATATTTATTATACTAATGTTGCAATAAGATAAGCAAGGATTAACTCCAGAAGAACAATCAAACAGGAAACAATACCCTAATTAAGGAACTACAGAGCAGAGAACCACATTCCCACCAAAACTGCCAGGGCAAGCCACTGAATATAAATAGGGAGCAAATCCCACAGTCACTAGCACTGATGATATTACCTACTCAGGTAATGAAACGTCTGCAGGCAAATAACCAAGCTCAGAGAGTACCAGGTACTCCACAATATTGTTTGTATTGCCTGTTTTTTTAAAAAAATTCTCTTTAATGCATTGCCTTTTAAGTTGTTCAGAGCCAGTCCAGAAAGAGTGGCATAGAAAGTTTAACTGTAAATAAATATCTTTTCCTATGCAGTTCTGGACAACCATCTCCTTTAATTATTTTCATGACATACTTACTTTATGATACTCAGCAATGTCTTTGTAAATTCCTGTGGTGGACACTTGTCCCAAAATGGAATAATAAGGCCTTAGGAAAGGTAATAAAAGAGAAAAAGGATTAACAAAGGGTTTAACCGGCTCTCACAATAGATCCTTTGTGACATCTATATCTGGACTTCCTCATGGACAAAGAAGCTGCTTGCTTTATATAGTTATATGTTAAAGTTCTTTTATTGGATTATCTAGTACAGTAATTGTTTATATAAGTAATTTTAGATAAAACCAGCCAAGTATGACGACTCTTTTGAATGTTAGCCATGATACTGATAGATTGCAATTATGAAAAAAGATGTAACACAACCTTTTGAGTATTTATACTCTGATTATGCAAAAAGAATGGCTTACGCCTTAATTCTGTTCAGTTAGCAGAGTTTAGATTAAACATATAGACTAAGCATATAGTTAAATGGTTCCATATACAGATATAAGGTGCTTTTCTTGCTTCATTGTAATAACAGTATTTTGATTTAATTATGCATATGTACTGAAATTAGAAGTTCCACCAATAGTAAGATGGAGTCTGTCTTCTGTTATTAATGAACTTCACCTCCAGAACCTCCAGGCAGAATGGACTATGTTGACGGATCTGGGAAGTATAATTCAGTAGCTTTAAGAGACCACAGTTCCCATGTTTATCTTTGGCTTACACACTCTGATAAAAAAAAATGTTTGATATTACTTGCCTTACTTTAGCACAGTTCTGCTTCTCAGTTTCTAAATACGATCTTATCTTTGAACAAACCAACCTGAATCTTTTGAAATGGTGCAGAATATAAATGCCTTATACTGCTGCACTATAAAGGTCTAGCAAAAAGCAATTGCCAAATCTATTTCTCCCATCCTCTTGCTAGCTAGTGTAATACTCACATCTGAGTCCGGAATATGACAGTGAAGAGTGAAAATGTCACAGCTGCTGCCAGTCCCAAGTCAAGATTCAAGAGTACCGTAGCGACAAAAGTTACAAGCCAGATAAGCTGGAGATATAAGAATGAGAGAATAACAACAGTACTGAAAGCATTAGTGGGATTTCCATTCAATTTTAGAAGAGGGAGACATTCAGTAGCTATTATTTTTGAGAAATATTAGCAAATGTGAATTGGTGCAAAATTGCAGCTGGCCAGTGGTCCTGACTAACTTTGTCAAGTCATCCAAGAAGTTGAAAGCAATTTATTTATGTCAGGTGGACTATTGAGATGCTTTTTTAATAACCCTATAGGGCAGTGGTGGCGAACCTATGGCACGGGTGCCAGAGGCAGCACTCGGAGCCCTCTCTGTGGGCACACATGCCATTGCCCCAGCCTGGCCTCCCCCCGTGACCCCCTCCTCACCAGCAGCCCTCCTGGAGAAGAGTCACTCCCGAGCGTGGCCCACACGGAGCAGTGCAATCAAGGACCACGCGGAGCAGTGCATCCAAGGACATGGCAGCCAGGCAGTGTAGACAAGACTCTGCCCACATGCCCCATTGC